TGACGAACATGGGCTGGACGCTGGGCTGTCCAGGCCAGGCAGGAAAAATCAGTCAAGGAATTGCGCTGCCGAAGCAGGGGCTGTTCAGGCACAGCGGGCAGTGTTGGAATCGGCAGCGCCGACGAAATCGGCAGAATCGGCAGAATCGGCAGCAGGTGCTGACGATGAGTCTGGACTGTTTATAGTCCTAGGCTTGACGAAAAAGACTGGGGGCCTAGGCACACGCTGGGGCAGGGGCAGCGGCAGCGATGCCAACAGTGGGAAAAATCGGCAGCGCGGATTTGTGCAGCTGGAGGCCCGTCGGGGAAAATCGGCAGCGCAGATTTTTTGACGAACATGGGCTGGACGCTGGGCTGTCCAGGCCAGGCAGGAAACATCGTCAAGGAATTGCGCTGCCGAAGCAGGGGCTGTTCAGCACAGCGGGCAGTGTTGGAATCGGCAGCGCCGACGAAATCGGCAAAGTCGGCAGAATCGGCAGCAGGTGCTGACGATGAGTCTGGACTGTTTATAGTCCTAGGCTTGACGAAAAAGACTGGGGGCCTAGGCACACGCTGGGGCAGGGGCAGCGGCAGCGATGCCAACAGTGGGAAAAATCGGCAGCGCGGATTTGTGCAGCTGGAAGCCCGTCGGGGAAAATCGGCAGCGCAGATTTTTTGACGAACATGGGCTGGACGCTGGGCTGTCCAGGCCAGGCAGGAAACATCGTCAAGGAATTGCGCTGGCGAAGCAGGGGCTGTTCAGCCACAGCGGGCAGTGTTGGAATCGGCAGCGCCGACGAAATCGGCAAAGTCGGCAGAATCGGCAGCAGGTGCTGAAGATGAGTCTGGACTGTTTATAGTCCTAGGCTTGACGAAAAAGACTGGGGGCCTAGGCTCACGCTGGGGCAGGGGCAGCGGCAGCGATGCCAACAGTGGGAAAAATCGGCAGCGCGGATTTGTGCAGCTGGAAGCCCGTCGGGGAAAATCGGCAGCGCAGATTTTTTGACGAACATGGGCTGGACGCTGGGCTGTCCAGGCCAGGCAGGAAACATCGTCAAGGAATTGCGCTGGCGAAGCAGGGGCTGTTCAGCCACAGCGGGCAGTGTTGGAATCGGCAGCGCCGACGAAATCGGCAGAGTCGGCAGAATCGGCAGCCGGTGCTGACGATGAGCCTGGACTGTTTATAGTCCTAGGCTTGACGAAAAAGACTGGGGGCCTAGGCACACGCTGGGGCAGGGGCAGCGGCAGCGATGCCAACAGTGGGAAAAATCGGCAGCGCGGATTTGTGCAGCTGGAGGCCCGTCGGTGAAAATCGGCAGCGCAGATTTTTTGACGAACATGGGCTGGACGCTGGGCTGGCCAGGCCAGGCAGGAAAATTCATCGAGGGGATGCGCTGACGAAACAGGGGCTGTTCGGACACAGGAGGCAGTGCTGGAATCGGCAGCGCCGACGAAATCGGCAAAGTCGGCAGAATCGGCAACGTCGGCACAATCGGCAGCAGGTGCTGACGATGAGTCTGGATGGACGGACTGCATATGACCCGGCTGCCCGCAACGAGTCATTCAATTCTCTGCCCTATCAACATAACTCCCGATGTGTTGTTCGCTATCTTGGAAGAAGAGATCTCTTCCTCCCCGGGATGGCCGGGTGCGATTACCCGGCGGCGTCATTCAAATCGCTGCCCTATCGGCTACAACTGCTGATGGGGGGATTAGAGGCCTGCCATGGTGGTGAGGGGAGGCGAAGACCGTGAAAGCAAGAGCTTTCCCGGGGCTCCTCCGTTGGCCGCGGCATGCGAGCTGCCGGTTTTCCCGCATTCCGCCAAGAAAACGTCGTGCTTCCCACATGAAATCAATCCAGTAAAACCAGCCATATTTTTGTGAGGCTGCCAGCTGAATTTGGGGTCATTCCGGGCTGGTCACTATTTTTGCGTATTTCCTTGATTTTTAACGGTAGGAAAATAAACAAAAATACTTCCCGGCCACGAAAAAATCCGGGATTATTTCTGGAGGTGGATTGGATTATTGCCAACCTATGTGCAAAATTTCAGCTCAAAATACTAAGAAATGAATTTTTTAGAGGGGGGGTGACAGCTGGGACCTAGTAGTGTCTACCCCTGCCAGAGCTGCAATAACACTTATAGCTCTTTAGGGGGGTGCCCCCCGACTGGCCATGGGGCGCGCTGGCTGGCGCCCATAGGCCTGCCGCGGGGGATTTGCGAGCTGCCGCTATGCTAGGACTAACGTGGGGGGCCTCACGGCCCGAAGTAACGCCGCCATCGATGACCCGTTTTCCGGCCGGCGACGACCCGATTCCGGCCAGCGTCCCTATAAAAATCACACGCGCGCGCGCGCGCCCGCCCGCGCCCGCGCCCGCGCTTGGCGCTGGGGCGCTGGGGCCTGGGGGCCTGGGGCCTGAGGGCCTGGGGCCCTTGGGGGCCCTTGGGCGCTTGGGCGCGCGCGCGCGGCAATGATTCCCACGCAGCCATGCTGCGCTGCGCAACGGGGGCTGACGCGGGGAC